GATATTTTCAGTAGTAAATGGTACCAATAACAGCACATTTGAGCAATGCAATTGTAGTGGATAAAATGGTCAATTTTTCCGTGTAGTACTGTACGGATTATACGCTCCTCACCGGTTAAGAGTTTGGCCGAGAGTTGTCTCCTTCCTTTTCTGGCCTAGTGCTGTTCTTTTTTACTTTGCGCCGGTCAAACTGAAGGTCACATCGCTACAGAAAGTAAATGAAGTATACGTTCAATGTTTTTTCCTGGCTGAAGTTCATAGTTCAAGATAAGAGGCAGTTTTGTAAACTAATTGTAAGTCACAACAGATTTATAGTTTATTCATAGATGTTAATAAAACTTTTTACCAATTACTGGAATTTTATTGCAGTTTAATATTGTATAAGGGTACTCTTAACTTTTAATCCCTATACAAGTGATTTAAGGGCGAGAAAACTGACGATTTTTGGCTTACATTTGCGGTCATTATCATATTTTTCGAGTACATTAGTGAAGTTTAAGCAAAAAACGATTAAAATTGCTTAAATAGGTGTTTTGTCGAGGGCGAATCCAGAAATAATCCTTAGGGGGGAGAGGAGAAATCTTGTATCTTTCTGATTAATTTCTTAATTCGATTTTACATCAACACAATCCTTAATTTTCACAGTACTGAACGATATAATCTATAAGCCATAGAGCTTTGAGGGGCAGCGCGAATTTTCCGCTTGAATGTTTTATGCAATTAAAACGACATGTACCTGATCTATGTTTTGGTCCATGCTCGTTGTAAGTACCCATTGACGAATATCATCATGGAGAGCTTCATCGTCCTGAAGGTACAGTGCCTTTGGTAACGGGAAATCGGTTGGTATGTCGGTGTGTTCCATGTACGTGTTATCAATAATTTGACTATCTCCCTCCTCGATTGCTTCGCAAATATCCAGATAGTAATTCAGGAATACAAAAGCTTCTGAAATTCTACCTTCTTCCCGCAAATCTAGACCTTTACGAGTCAATAATAAAATGCCAAAAGGATGACGGTAAATAAATTGGAAAAATATTTGTAATTTCTTACCTGCTTCACAAAATGCCTTATCAGCTGGAATTACATCAATGTACCTGAGCAAAGCAATTGATATTTTTACTGCTATTTGCTTTAAAGAAGGAACTTTCTTACAAATAGCCCTCAACGCACAAAAATGAACAATTAGCAAAAGTTCTTCAAAGTGACTTTTTGTTTGAGAATTAACTTCATTACCCGTTTTAATATTTTCCACCTGAAATTAAAATAATTTACTTCTTCTCTTTACGTCACTTTACCAGATACCTACTAATTAACATAGTATAATTTGGTATAATTAAGTGTATTAAATTGTTTTCCATTTAAAATTTGCCGCCATTTAATAAAGGAAAGAGATTTAAGTTCCTTTGATAGGGCGCAGACGCAGCCCTTACAGCTTCATAAATACATAGTAATAATCAGGTGATCTATTTCATTTCCGTGACGGCAGTTAAAGATTGAACGTGTGATTAGTGAGGTGTTACTTTGATATTAAACGATTGACTATATCAAACTTTTAATTCGAGTTATTCAAGTTTTTGGAAACTTCTGTATTATTTTACAAGACACGGTGATGCATAGGAGAAATTGTAAGCGAAAAGTGCGTTGGGAGATGTTGGCATACAAAGGTATGATAAATAGTAATTTTTTAACGTTCTTTTGTTACAAATCTGATGTATTTTCTTGTACTTGGTGTACTTTAATTACTCTTATTATTTATTGTTTTCTGGGAACACATTTAGCTTTGAAAGGTTATGTGACAAACTTTATAAAGGGTTATGTCTTGGTTATATCTAACTTCGAGGATTATAAGTAGTAAAATTATCCAAACAAACCAAGATCGTTTGGAGGTTTTTGATAATATATTTCTAGGTATTATTTAATATCTTTACTTTCAATGATGCCAAAAATTGCGTATAAGTTGTTTAATTGTTATAAGATACAATATAGTTATTTTGTTGCCCTGAAGCATAGCGTTGGTCAGGTAATTATGATTACGAATTATCTCAAGAAAACTAAATACATGTGCAATTTCTGCATACCTAACCTAACAATTTTAAAAGAATAATATATGTAATCGGTTTCTGTTGAATCCTTTTTTACTTATATCATAACCTTTTTATACACACGAGAAAATTATTTTGATTGATAAACTGATATATACGTAAGTAATTATTGTTTAATATCACGTACAAAAGTTTTCGCTCAGAAAATATTTCCTTTGTGATAGGTATTTCACTGTAGGCAAAAATAATTTATATATTATACATAATTGTATAATGCAACGATCTAAGGAATTTGACGATCTATTGTTTTCTTGAAATACTGCATATTGCCTAAAGGTGGCGCTTAGATGTAGCACACGGCAGATTTATAAACAGTTTAATTAGGGAGTGATTGAACAAAATTAGTGTAACTAACTATATGAATAAGCTCTTTTTACCAGTTTATGAAGCATCTGTCGTAACTCTGACCATATTTCGTAGTTATTTTCTTCTTTATCAATATTCAATGCCAACATTTCTTTTACGATTCGGTTGTAAATTTTAAAGTTTTGACTGATAGCCGGCGTTCCGTATGTATTGAACACTTTTACAGCTTGGATTGGGGAACTATCTTTTAATAAACTGGTAGCATACAATGCCAAGTATTTGTGCAAAATTGGCAAACCATGTGCTTTTGCCTTTTCAATGCACTTTGTCCAATGCCCTTGTTCAGCCAACAAATCCAATGATTCCATAACCCCTTAAAAACAAAGTATCCCTGAGCATTGTGTTAAATATAACCACAACGTTGTCATATTAGATAATCGCCAATGGCCACCATTTAGATGATCCACCACAAAGCTTTAAATTAAATCTATTAGAAAATTTAGATATAAACACTGCTGCAGTTAATAAGAAAACTATCGACATNATTAATTATATATTATTATTATATATATAGTTATAATATTGTACATTTATTTCCAGGTGAAGATAAAGAAGATTCAAAATCGATAGCGGAGTCCGAGTCGAAAGACACGGGTCCTTTGCCGTGACGAACGTCCAATCCTTCTCAATCGCACCACCAGTCCAAGTCTACGTATAAATAAATAAACAGTTAAAGTAACATAAAAATAAAAACTGAACTAAAAATATGGCCCCGTCGCATGTTCTGGGAAGAAAACAAAAAAAAGGAGACAAAAACTTTTATTAATCTTTCATTATGCAGTCCTTGGGCAGATGTTCATAGGCAGAAAAATAGGAATAAAACTACTGAATTTTTTCCTGTTTGTGAGGCGTGTGTATTTCATGTCGTGCATGTAAATAATAATAATAATTGTAATGATAATAGTAATAGCAATGAAAGTTCATTCGTAAGTTATCTCACAAAGGAATAATAACGGTATTTATTTTATTAAACGTGGACATGTTTTATCATTTCTTCTTTTGTGGCCTGGAGAATAAGTAAGTGGAAATGAAGGAATGTAAAGCTGTGCATTTTTTCGTGTTCTTGTGAGTTATAGTAGACAAAAGGCTGATACAGAGTGTTCGTGATTATTATGATTAAGTAATGGTGGTCAGTTATTATTTTTATTGTAATGTGACCTGTTTATTTCTTTAGTTACTTTTTAATATACTTATTTTGACAATTGATTTTGGTGCTTTATTTTTTTATTTTATGTGTATTTTTTGTTTCGTTATTTTTTGTTGCTATTTCAGTCTGAATTCACATTATTTTTTCTGATAAAATTCGGTAGGGGTGTTCGATTTTCGATTTAGATTTCAGAAGACTGTAGAAATTATGGAGCTCTTGGGTAATTTATTGATAGCGCCCATGGGTAATTATTGATAGTGCCCTTTGTAGAAAGCGTTGTCTAAGTTTAAAAAAATACCAATTTATTTATTAAACTATCTGTTTCCTTTCCAATTTGGATTGACGGTACATAGCACTTAACATTTTAATTTTGGCGATATTTTACAATTAATGGTTAATCTTTTAAAATTTAGTGGTTATGTCATTAGAATTTATATCTATGCAACCAACTATACACATTTAAATCCTCCCACTCTTTGCAGTTGTTTAGTTCCAACTTGAACGTCAAAATAGATCATTTTTAATTAAAGATCCTCATTAAACGAAAACAGGCCTGATAGGAAACCCTTCCATTTTTTTTATTCGATAATATCTTTGGCCTAAGCCCTTTTTGATTAAAAGTCTAAAGGCTTGAATGCAGGAAAGAAACATTTCTTAATTTCCAATACTAAGTAATTTTTAAATAAACAATTACAGTTTCTCTCTTCCTACGTAAAAAGGTCTTAACGCCCCGCTGGAAGCCTCCCCTAACAAGTTTCGTTACGTAATTGATGGACGGTCCCTAAACAAAAGTCTATTATTAATTATCTTTATAGTGGATTTCAAAGTTATTTTAAAATGTTATACTATCACTAACTGAGTATAAAATTGGTATAAAAATATGTTGAAGGCAATTGATGTGGTGAACCTTTTTGCCCCCTGTGGGCGAGGGGGATAGAATATGTCCACCGTATCTCCTGCGTGTCGTAAAAGGCGACTAAAAGGGGAAGTTAGTAATATAATCGAAATTAAGCTCAAGGTTTTGTTATGGAAATTTTGTTATCGAACTTTGGGCTTAATGCGATTACTTTACTAAATTAAATTTAAGATGGTTTCATAACACAAGTTCTCAAAAATAAGATTATTGTCTTTTGTTACATAGATCCATATTTAATATGTTTTCAGCAACAAAATAAAAATTTGAAAGCAATACAAATATTGCTAGCGTTTTTGTATTGCAACTTCTCGAACTTTTTTTATCTTACAGTTAAAAGTTTACAATAAATCAATTCATTTTAAATAAAAGATTTATTGATTGTTTATGTTTAAGTTCCCTTTTTGGTATTTAAAATAAAAAGGAAACGAGATGCAGAAACATACACAGTCACTATAATTACATTTTATTGTGTTGTAACGTTTCTACTCGTTTTTGCATTTCTTCAGTTGGTTCCCCTTGATTTCTTTTTGTTTTAGGATTGAAAAGGGAACAGTAAACTTTTTTTAGATGTGCTATTAGACTAGATTAATTTGTAGAACTTTGTTATGAAACACAGTTTCTTATTTATTGGTTTTATTTTTATAACTTCAGTTTTCAGTGTCTTATTAAAATTTGAACATCTTTGTTAACTCTTCAGTTTAAAACTGAAGTAGATATTATTTTTGTGATTAAGGTATTAATTTGTTATTAATAAATATGTCAATTTGTTATATTAGTCACAGTTCCTTTTAATTTGTTTAATATATTTTTGAAACGCACAAATCGAAACGCACAATTGGGAACGTTTTGAACTGAGAATATACGAGGTTTGTTACAAAAGGACTGAGCACAAATTATGTCAGTGGGCTGTTAGTAGATGTAAAATATTGTCACGAACGCACAAACAAATACGCACAAATGTTGGAACAGACTGTAGAGGATGATGTTGTTAATAAGACAAAATGGATTTTTAACTATTTGTTACCATTTTGCTGCCTATTTTCGTCTGTAGTAATTTGATTCGTGGAGTTTTTTTTTTGGATATAGTGTACCTGAAAGATACGCACAAAATTTTATGTATTTATTGGAAACATTGTATGTGAGATTCAAATAAAAAGTGAATATCGAAAAGTTGAATGTTCTAGGCGAATTTTATGCATAATAAATTCTTATTCCACTGATTACTTACTGACGATTATTATTTTATTTTCAAAATCTACGTATCGCATAGCTTTCTAGTAGGCACCAATTTTTTATGCAGAAAGTATTGATTATTTATTGTTAACAAAATGTTTATTGTTTATTATTTTATTTGACAAAGCGTATTTGTATTTCATTTTATTTTTAAAATTTTCCAAGTATTAAGTATTAGCCATCAGGTTATTTTGCAAATATAATTATTATGATAATAAAATATTGCAACTGTAATTGGGAAATTTTTTGGAATAAATGTTACAATAAGCGTATTTATAATCTAAATTGTTAATGTTTTGATTTAAATTGAAATTCCGACTCTCCTTTGTGATTTCTTTTATCTTTCTGATAATGGTGATATTATTATAGTTTTAAAAATTTAAAAAATTCGCCTACCCCCAATAAATA